TCGACGTTGGGGCGATTTTCGAAAACTACTTACTAACGTTTCAACATAAGTATATATGGGATATTAATTATATTATTATATTAGACCTTATAGCAAAACTCATCTGACGAAAAAGTGTTAACGTAGTATATTAATATGGAGTAAAAATTTTACTAATTACTTTACTTTTACTTTACTAATTAAATTCCTTCCAAAAAACGATACGCCACTGGCCATTAGAACAATCCAAATGCGCCTAGTTGCCGGGGTCGGAAATTTTAGACTTCTCTGTCTCTTCCGTCCTTGTTTGACACATTGGAATGTTTGATACACTTCCAACGAGTATTTATGAATGAGATGTTCGGTCTATGTTTATAATGTCTTTGCATGTACCCTTATCCCAACAGAAAAAATATCACTTAAAATGAAAAATACGCTATAATAATAATTTACTATGGAATAAAATTAATTTAAGCTTGAACCATTAAAACTTATAGATGGAATAAAAATAATAACTAAAATATGTTTTTCTATAAACACCCATATACCATCACGCTATAGGCCCATGTACAAATTTGCCGAAAAAATAGGTTTATTACCATAAAAACACACAGAGACCTTAAAATACGGACCTACCTGAGTTTACAGTTATTATCCACATACTCCGTTAAACAGGCACTTAACACACGAAAATCACTCTTCGATATCACACTTTTAAGCCCTTTTCACTAAACACACTCAAAATACACAGAAAATTTCTTGATTCCAAAACCGTTAGAAGTTAGAAATGAACTAAAAAGCGACCAAATGTATACGACCGGCGATTAAATTGGTTTTCTATACACGGAAGTTACCGATAAGACCGCTAACACGCTTTTACACAAACAGAAATATGTATATTTATAGATACAGGGTGTTAATGAAAACAAAAATACAAATTTTAATATTTATTTAAAGTATGCAATACATTTACTTTTTGATATTTTGGCGCAGGTACTAAATACTATTATAGCAGATGATATAAACGTCATAATTATATACAAAAATAGAACTATATATGAAATCACTGTAGGTTCTTCCTTATCCTTTTACACGTCTGATTTTTCATAGTTGAACTATCGTTAAAATTGATGGGTAGCATCTGCCAATCAGATTGATCTCCAACACTTCTATTTGAAAAGATTACCCTTATTTTATATTTTATGTTCGTCTTATTCCTAGTCTCTTCTTCCGATAATGGACGTTTGAAAACTTCCACCGATCCGTTATTGCTATATTCCAATCTCTGCCAAGCTTCTGGCCATTTACACTTCGTTGTAGTATCATTGTTTTTTAAACATACGAAAGCTTCAATAACATCTTTCGGTTTATTTATATAGAATGTATTTTGCACTATAACGGCAAATATAATAAAAGCTGAACTTAACGCCGCCATGTCTGGATACTGAATGACTGTTTAGCTATGTTGACGGAGAGAATATAAACAATCTCGGCATCTTGCTTGAGAAGGGGGAGGACCGTCAATATGAGTCACTTGATCAGGTCTGTTTCAATCAGGTCTGTTTCAATCAGGTCTGTTTCAATCGGGCCTGTGTTAGTGTTGCGTTAGCGTTGCGTTGGCGTTGCGTTAGAGTTGCGTTAGCGTTGCGTTGGCGTTGCGTTCGTGTTGCGTTAGCGTTGCGTTCGTGTTGCGTTAGCGTTGCGTTCGTGTTGCGTTCGTGTTGCGTTACACATGCGCAAAAGTCGGTGCTAAAGAATGTAGACATAGTGATGAAGAAAGAACAATTAGCGGTACGTGGGTTATTGACGAAGTGGTGAAGGCGTTGGAAAAAGGATATATAATACTAGACATTCAAGAAATATGGAAATATAAGGTAACCCAATATAATCCGGAGACGAAAGAAGGGGGTTTGTTCAACGGGTACATTAGTAAGTTTCTGAAAATCAAACAGGAATCGTCAGGCTGGCCATCATACTGTACAACACCCGAATCCAAAGATCAATACGTACGTGAATACCTGGAAAAGGAAGGCGTTACGCTAAACCCGGAAAAGGTTTCTGTAAATCCTGGTCTTAGGCAGCTTGGAAAAGCTGTCATCACATCGTTTTGGGGCAAGATTAGGGCAGAGGGAAAACCAGGGAAAGACGTCTATTGTCAACAGACCAGAAGTCTTGTTTTCCATGTTATCTAACCCTGCAACAGATGTCAACTCCATAGTGCCTGTGAACGACGATACCCTGCTGGTAAACTGGGTATTCAAGGATGAAGCGTACGATGTTTTACCAACAGTAAATGTATGTTTGGCAGCCTACACAACAGCCCAGGCCCGGCTGAAATTATACAGTTACCTTGAAAAGTCGGGGATAACGCTATTTACACAGACACAGATAGCGTTATTTACCTATCGAAGGCAGGACAAGAAGAAGATATCCCACTTGGAAATTTCCTCGGTGAAATGACCGATGAGTTGGAGGGGTATGGTGAGGGTAGCTACATTGATGAGTTTGTATCGGGAGGACCTAAGAATTACGCGTATAAGGTATATTCTCCTAAATCCGGGGAGTATTCCATAACGTGTAAGGTTAAAGGTCTCTCCCTAAACTACAACGCCTCTCAAACCATCAATTTTGAAACCATCAAATCCATGGTTTTTAGCAGAAGAGCCCGAACCTATCCCCATAATATACAGGCAGATACGGAGAACTGGGGATCACAAGGTTATAACCACACAGCAGACAAAGCTCTACAGGCCGCTGTCAACAAAACGGAAATTCGACGAGGAAGGTGGTTCATTACCGTTTGGTTTTAAAAAGTTAGACATTGAGAAAAACTGTATTTAGTTCATACTTTTTAGTTATAATATGTTTAGTTTTGTATATATAGTGTTTTTGTAGTTATAATAATTGTTATTAACACCCATCTATATTGGGAACCTATTTTATATTTGTATTAACACACGTTTAACGTATTTGTATGTTTACTATACAGTCTGTACTTATATAAACCTATATTAGATTTCAGTTAAGTTCTAATTGTTTTATCATTAAATATGTAGGATTTAAATCTTATACAGACTATGTAGAAAATTATGTTTTTTATATTTTATTTGTACTAACACACATTATATACTTTTGTTATATTTTTATACAGGATGTATAGAAAATAATGTTACTTTTAACGTATTTGTATGTTTACTATACAAACTGTACTCATACGTATATTAGATTTAGGTTCTTTAGTTAGACGTTGTAGATAAACATTATCATTTTATACTGTCACGTATATTTTTATACATAGTGTATAGAAAATAATGTTACATAAACACGAATGTTATTAGGATAATTTCTGGCGCATCCGCCACAACAGCAAAATACTTTTATCTGTCTTAACAGTTCTCTAGAGAGAGAGAGAGACGGCACAGATAAACATTAACACTTATGTTATAAAGATACACTGTAATGTTTGTACTAATACGTTTGTTATATTCATCAATAAAGAATTATTAAACAAACCTTTTTTTTCTTTATATCCTACAACCATTTAAATAGCTGCATTCAAATTTAGTAATTTTTTCCTATCATAAATAATCATTTTTATTATATATTTATTTTACACATGTACTGAAAAACATTTTTCAATCTTTTATATTGTACAAGACTGATTTTATAAAAAAAAATATTTAGAGTATTTATTCTAAATAAAACAATTTTTCATTTCACTGTGTATTTATTTTTCCACATTTCTCTCATCTAGTAAATTATAAAAAATAGGTAAACAATATTCAATAATCTTCCCAATCAATACTAATTCCTATCTTGAATTATCTCAGCACTTTCACTTCTTCTTCAAAAGCATAAGTAAAAAAAAAACAAGATATTAATAGATTTAAATTTATTGAGTTAAAATGTTTATAATATAATCATATAATATATGAGCATTATTTACAGTACAAGAACATATTTCTAGTCTATGATAATTACAATTATTACTGTATGATTGTTCTAATTTCGGTACAGGTCCAGAAGTAAATTCCAAGTTCACTATACGGGGTGGATCAAGATTCATTTCGTTGTATGTGCACAGCAGAAATTCCTTTTTAATAGATCCTTTAACGAAAACCATATCGACACCTTCCAATTCCTCCTGTATTATGTCATACATCGCCTTATAGGGTAAATACCCTGAATTATAAGGGATTCCATGAACATTGTGAAATATATAATTTATCGTCTTCTTATGGTGTATCGGCAGATGGTTGTAACAAATCTTCGGTTTAAACGTATAGGTTTTCATTTCTTTTCCATCGTATATGGATAATTCTTAACCTCAAATTCGGGGATGGGAAATCCTTGTACGTCTATAACAACGAACTTCATCGTATCAATGTCTTGCAGCAACTGATTAAATTAGCGTTCTAACATGTCCTGATAAAGGTAAATATTCCATGACTCGATCGTATATGATGATACAAAATGCTCGGGTGTTTTCGGGGAAATTTTCCGAACTCTCAAATTCTAGCTTTACATCTATCACATTACTTTTCAGAGCCTCGTTTTGTTTTGAACAATCAATTACAAATAGGGCTCGACTGGCAAAAAGCAGTAAAATCTAGCAAAGGTTCGCTATTGATCTTTCCCAAATACGATTTTGAAAATCCGTATACATGGAATAGGCTTTAGTAAACTGTCTGGTTTGAAATTTAAATCTAGGGATTCATATGGGTAGGCCTCGGAATTTAGATAAAGCTTGACATCTGTAATTTTCAAATTATCGAAATATGTGCCATCAGCTTTATAGTTATCTTTTCGATCTTCTTGGAAGAATACAACAACATATCTCGCTCGTTCAGATGCTGCCTTCACTGTCCATACATCTTTTTCTCGCTTGTCGTAGAGCAGGTAGTTCATGAATTTCCCATTTCCTAAATCCAATAAATACCGGTTTGTCCTGGAAATCGCTTCAAACAATTTTAATTTCACAGAATCGTTCGGGTAGATATGTTTTACTCTTAACTCGATATTCAAAATGGTGATGTCTGCTTTCTTGTTTCCCTCTGAATTAACATAACAGTTATCATCTTTTTGGCACGTACAAGCTTTAATTTCTGCGTTCCCATAATAATAGCGCTAGTATAATCGGAGAAGACGTTCAATAGGAAATTCAACGGTATTAGGAGACTGAAATTATCCGTTTCTGGCTCATATGATTTCACAGTACCGTTCGGCCAATTCCATCCCGCCACATCAAGGGCAGTACTTTCATTTTGATTGAGACACAAAAGACTTTTAACGGTACTTATAAGCCCTGGATCTCGTACTTTATCGATTAATTTTCCATTCAATTCATACGTTATCGATTCAAATAGAAATGCTCCAACGTTATTTGTCAGGGAACATTTTCCTGTTTTCACAACTGTCGATACTTCTTCCAGAAATTTGGCCTCAATGTATAATTCACCCTGGCTAATATCCATAAACACATCCTGTTGATTAATAACAATTTCTATCTCATCGCTGTTCTTAAATGATTTGGTGAACGGGTGATACGTATGCCATTCTTCTCGAGCAATGGATTCATCTACGTTGACCGGTTGGAATATTTGTAGTTTTTCTGATACGGAGTCCATATTTGCTGATAATATGGTGAAGCTGAGTATACTCTTAGACGTGAGCGTCTGCTTCGGGCGTACAAGTACTAACTGATTGATTGCTCTGTGATCTGGTATTTAAATAGTAAGGTTTAAAAGTTAAACCCATTCTTTTAAGCTCCAAACGTATAACAATGTCTTCACCTCTAAAGTTGACCGGTCTTGATTCCTGATCTAATATATCCAATGTAATGTTATCAATAAAATTTCTATTTACTGAAGGTAGATTAGATTCCTGGGTTCGATAATTATACTATAGCCAGGATCTACGCTAGGACTAAACTCGTACAGTGTATGAGATGGATTATTAATGTAATACGATCCAGATATGATATTGCACTCGATACGTATTGTTACCACAGGAAAAATTTCCACAGGTATATCTGATTTGTGCAATTTGTTGGCAGCTAAAACTTGCGGTGAAAATCCTAATATTTTTCCAATACTATCTTCAGGTTGAAAATCTATATCGTAGATACACTTTATTTCACACTTTAGTGTATTATTATTAGGGTGTAACTTTATAACGGTTTTACTCTTAGAACTTAGCTCTTTTTGCAAATACTCTTCAATGTCGGTAATCTCGTAAGATCCTGTTGGAATTTCAATTATTTGCTTTATACCGTCTACAGAATAATGAAACTTATTTCGACCTGGTTCGATATTCGGTATTGAATTCCAGGTACTGAGAGAATATCAGAGCTAGAGAATAACTGTATCTAGAATCGAGTTCTATTGGAGGATTAATGTCCACGCTTAAACAGCTAGAACGACCTTTCAGTGTGAATGTCTGAGACATGACTGAGCGTGAAATTTAAAACACATGTTCTTTTATAACTATTTATTATTATAGAGAAAGGACAATGCAAGATGACCACAATTATAAGTATTATATGTTTGATACTGGTCGTAATTATAATATATTTTACATTTCTTGAAATATCGAACAATTTCTTTTGGTGGGTTTAAATTTCCAAAACTATCAAAATACACAACTTTATCCCTTGTTTTTCTATATGCTACCCAATGAGTTCCATCTCCTTCAATCTCGTCCAAATTTACAACACCGCACTCGTTCGTTCTAGGTGTTTGTGGTAGAGCATTTCGCATAAATACTCCTCTGAAGTTGACAATTTTTAATTTCTTTACATATTTCTGTATATCTAGGTTAGACAAAGGTCGATTGGGTAGCTTTATTGGTAGTTTTTTGGCAATTGCTTCTGAAGAAATAATCCATATCCTGTCTTGTGTTTGGCAAGGTATAATCCGCTTCCTCTTTTACCCAACGCAATGGCTTCCATGGTTTCGTTATGTCGTTGAGATTCCTTTAATTTATCTCTTGCCGCTCGGCTATCTTGAACAGCTTTAGCGACAGAAGCAGCGCCTCCGGTAAGAGCTCCCAAAGCACTTAGGCCTGCGAAGAGCGGAATAAGAGGTAAAATTCCTCCGACTTTAGGTACTGGGATAACTCTAGGTACTTTAACTTTTCTTCTACCACCAGCTTGTTTAACACTCATGCGAGCTGCTCTCAGTGCTAGTTTAATATTATCCTTGAGGGTGCCATTACCATAATGTTTAATATGTCTCTTCACTTTATTAACAATAAAAGATTTGAAGGGTTTTCGTTTAACACCCATACCAAGCTTTCGTTTTGTTTTCATTGCGTTTGTAACAAGCCACGCAGCACTTTTTTCTCCGATATTAGAATCCAAAGCTTTAACTCTTTCCCACGCTTTTTCCTCCAACACTTTATCGGCTTGATGTCGTCGATTCAAATCCTTTTCTTTCGAGTATGCGATATCGTGCTCCTTACACGCTCGATCTAATTCGTTTATGCCTGGATCTCCTCTAGCTAATCGTTTAGCAAGCTTTGTTCCCGGACCACAATACTGGTAACCAGGTAAATGAAGTTCAAATGGTAATTTATTGATAGCCCTATTTAAGAGACCTTTACCCTTTGACGTTCTCATTACAACTGAAGACGTGATCGAATAAACATCGTATATATGTGAAAAAAAAAATGAGAAAAGTTAAACAGAAAATCGATATTGATGTTTGTAATTTCGATATCGCACAGGGTGATGCTAGAAATCGACATAGCGATCTATTACCAAATACTATAAGGGCTATAATCTGTGGCCCCAGTAATTCAGGAAAAACGAATGTGATGTTAAGTCTTTTAACAGATCCAAACGGACTTCGGTTTGAGAACGTGTATGTTTACTCAAAGTCTCTCTTTCAAGACAAATACACATTTTTGCAACAGGTTTTGGATCGTATTAAAGGTGTTAATTACTACGGATACAGCGATAACGATAGTGTATTGGATCCCGTAAACGCCAAACCCGACTCTGTCTTCATATTCGATGATGTAGCTTGTGAGAAACAAGATAAAATTAGAAATTATTTTTGCATGGGTCGTCACAATGCAATCGACTCGTTTTACCTCTGTCAGACCTATTCAAAGATCCCTAAACAATTGGTTCGAGATAATGCTAATATGTTGATACTTTTCAAGCAAGATGATACTAATCTTAGGCATGTGTATGATGATCACGTAAATACAGACATGTCGATAAACATGTTTAAGGATATATGTTCTGAATGTTGGAAAGACAAATATGGATTTCTTGTTATTGTTAAAGACTGTGATATTCACAAAGGCGTTACCGAAGCAGATTTAATACCTATATAATACCATAAACATAGTTTAATGGTTAGTATGTAAGAGTCCTTGATCGAGGATACACCTAGTATCAAACGATCCGATTGTAACAGACCTGATTGAAACAGACCTGATTGAAACAGACCCGATTGGAACAGACCTGATTGAAACAGACCTGATTGAAACAGACCCGATTGGAACAGACCTGATTGAAACAGACCTGATTGAAACAGACCCGATTGTAACAGACCTGATTGAAACAGACCCGATTGTAACAGACCTGATTGAACGGACCTGATTGAACGGACCTGATTGAACGGACCTGATTGAAACAGATCGGGTTCGAAATGCCTAAAATATTAACAAAAGATGAGCGAGAAGTTCAGAGAAAGATTATAAATGCTGCTAGACATATACGAAAAAAACATCTAGCCTTGAAATTAGAACGTGATGAGGGAGATGAAACTCTAAATAGAATATTGGGACCTATAACTATACCCTTAAATAAACTCGCAGACAGAAGACAATAAAGAACAAGGAAGAGGAAATTGTAAAGATGGGAAAGATAACACCACCATCATCGATAAAGAAACAGCCGAAACCTGAACGCAGTTCTCAAAAAGTATGTTGAATTCCAGCCGACTGAAATGATTGCGGAGAAGTCTGGAAACAGTGATAATGATGATGATGATAATGTTTTTATGGAAGTACAATCACTACAAGCATTTAAAGATGCTAACGAAGATCTTCAAAAATCAATTCTAGAACAAACTGAAGTGTACAAGGAGCTACTTGGGTCAGTATCCAAAATAGCACATGAATTTATCGATAAGTACTTTATAGATTCCGATGAAATAGATCATACGTATGGTTTACAACATAATGCACCAACTGAAACTTGGAAAATGGGGACGGAAAAAGTGGATTTTCTTCAAAATGGTGATATACGAGTAGGTGATTCTATTTACAAAGGAAATCGTGGTTTATATGAATTGTTATTTCTAAAGAAACCTATGCACTTTACTGAAAACGATAGAGTTCAATTTCAGAAAATATTGAAGCAAACCAACGTTCACAAAAGAGATTTTAGTCCATTGGGACAATTGAGAGGTAGTAAATCTGTGAAATATAGGGATTTCGTTAAACCAATGATTACAGCTGCATCTTCGGCTTCGCTTGAAGGTTCAAGACTTAGGCATTCATCAGCCAGCAATATAGCACAGAAAATCCCTAAAACCAGATCGCAAACTAAATCTGGATCCGCACTACTTGAGTATAATGAAAAACCTAAAGAATATATTTATTATGATGACGTCAACGAGTTGGTGGATAGATTAAGTAAACTGGATGCCTCTCAAACAGCAGGAAACGGAAACCATACGAATGAAATAATGAGTATTCTTGAAGAATTGTTAGAACTAGGTGTAGTTGAACCTATAAATAAAGTGTTATACTAGATATTTGAGCATTATTATTTCAACCATGAACAAGTTCGGATGGTCTTTATCTTCCAAGCGAAGGTTAGTACACCCTCAACCTGAATTTTCCCACACACCTGAAGGAGATTATGATTTTGAAAATCGAAAAATAACTAATGTTGAAGACCCTACAGAAGAGAGCGATGTATCGACTAAACGATATACTGATGAGCTAGCAGGGAAAGTCCGCGAAGAGATAAAATTTCAAGCTCGTTCTATGGAAACAATAAACGCATTTAACAGTGTTCTTGCCGAAAGATTAGAAGCGTTAGAGATAGACTTACAGGAGACGTTTTCAAAAATTTCAACACGTCTAACGGATATGGATAAGAAATTTGGAACTTTAGAGGATGAGATAGTCAAGAAACTGCATATAGATCTTGATATCTGGAAAGTGCGATAAAGAATTATACAGATACGGTGATTGAAAAAATCCAATAAGGCTAAACGTCTAGAACTGGATAGTATCAATTCTAAACTATCAAACATTGAGCATGATATACAGAACATTGATACGGATATAGCAGCACAATATCAGAGAGTGCTTGATTCGTTTAAGACAATAACAAACCAGAAAATAGACGATTTATCAAACGATTTGGGTGATGTAAAAGGTGTCCTTGAAGATTTATTATTAAGTAAAAAAAAATTCTAACCCAAAATAAAATATAAATACACATATACCAGCACTATTTCGTTAGACAAAGCGATGGGTTCTAGAGAACAAGTCGTTAGGGAACTTCATAAACCCGCTCGTATTAAATTCAAAAGACGAAGATTTATTCAGTATGGTTTAGACGATACTTTTGCCACCGATCTTGCTCAATTAGATCAAT